GTCACAATGAAAGGCAACTGTGGCAATACTGTACCACAGTCATCCTGTGAGGAGAACATCCCCTTGGCAACTACACTGAACAAAAATATAAACACAACTTGTAAAGTGTTGGTCCCATGTTTCATCAGCTGAAATAAAATATCCCAGAAATGTTCCATATGTACAAAAAGCTTATTTCTCTCAAATGTGTTTACACCCATGTTAGTGAGCTGAGGACTATTTCTGTCTGTAATAAAGCATTTTTGGGGGGAAAAACTCAGTCTGATTGGCTGGGCCTGGCTCCCCAGTGGGTGGGCCTGGCTGCCAATTGAGTGGGCCGATGCCCTAAGGCCCACCCATGGCTGCACCCCTGCCCAGTCATGTGAATTCCATAGATTGGGGCCTAATTAATGAATTTAAATTGACTAATTTCCTTATATGAACTGTGACTCAGTAAAATCTTTGAAATTGTTGCATGTTGCATTTATATTTTTGTTCAGTATATATTAAAACCTTCTCAATATGATAACATAAAAGCATTAGCATACTTTTGATTTATTTTTTAATTAAAGAATACAACCATGTCTGTAAGCATTTTCAACAAAGCTGCTGGTGGTCCTTGAAATGCAGCATTAGGATATATACACTGCTCAAAAAAATAAAGGGAACACTTAAACAACACAATGTAACCCCAAGTCAATCACACTTCTGTGAAATCAAACTGTCCACTTAGGAAGCAACACTGATTGACAATAAATTTCACATGCGGTTGTGCAAATGGAATAGACAACAGGTGGAAATTATAGGCAATTAGCAAGACACCCCCAATAAGGACTGTTTTTGCAGGTGGTGACCACAGACCACTTCTCAGTTCCTATGCTTCCTGGCTGATGTTTTGGTCACTTTTGAATGCTGGCGGTGCTTTCACTCTAGTGGTAGCATGAGACGGAGTCTACAACCCACACAAGTGGCTCAGGTAATGCAGCTCATCCAGGATGGCACATCAATGCGAGCTGTGGCAAGAAGGTTTGCTGTGTCTGTCAGCGTAGTGTCCAGAGCATGGAGGCGCTACCAGGAGACAGGCCAGTACATCAGGAGACGTGGAGGAGGCCGTAGGAGGGCAACAACCCAGCAGCAGGACTGCTACCTCCGCCTTTGTGTAAGGAGGAGCAGGAGGAGCACTGCCAGAGCCCTGCAAAATGACCTCCAGCAGGCCACAAATGTGCATGTGCCTGCTCAAACGGTCAGAAACAGACTCCATGAGGGTGGTATGAGGGCCCGACGTCCACAGGTGGGGGTTGTGCTTACAGCCCAACACCGTGCAGGACGTTTGGCATTTGCCAGAGAACACCAAGATTGGCAAATTCACCACTGGCGCCCTGTGCTCTTCACAGATGAAAGCAGGTTCACACTGAGCACGTGACAGACGTGACAGAGTCTGGAGACGCCGTGGAGAACGTTCTGCTGCCTGCAACATCCTCCAGCATGACCGGTTTGGCGGTGGGACAGTCATGGTGTGGGGTGGCATTTCTTTGGGGGGCCGCACAGCCCTCCATGTGCTCGCCAGAGGTAGCCTGACTGCCATTAGGTACCGAGATGAGATCCTCAGACCCCTTGTGAGACCATATGCTGGTGCGGTTGGCCCTGGGTTCCTCCTAATGCAAGACAATGCTAGACCTCATGTGGCTGGAGTGTGTCAGCAGTTCCTGCAAGAGGAAGGCATTGATGCTATGGACTGGCCCGCCCGTTCCCCAGACCTGAATCCAATTGAGCACATCTGGGACATGTCTCGCTCCATCCACCAACGCCACGTTGCACTACAGACTGTCCAGGAGTTGGCGGATGCTTTAGTCCAGGTCTGGGAGGAGATTCCTCAGGAGACCATCCGCCACCTCATCAGGAGCATGCCCAGGCGTTGTAGGGAGGTCATACAGGCATGTGGAGGCCACACACACTACTGAGCCTCATTTTGACTTGTTTTAAGGACATTACATCAAAGTTGGATCAGCCTGTAGTGTGGTTTTCCACTTTAACTTTGAGGGTGACTCCAAATCCAGACCTCCATGGGTTGATAAATTTGATTTCCATTGATAATATTTGTGTGATTTTGTTGTCAGCACATTCAACTATGTAAAGAAAAAAGTATTTCATAAGATTATTTCATTCATTCAGATCTAGGATGTGTTATTTTAGTGTTCCCTTTATTTTTTTGAGCAGTGTATAACTTTAAAACAGTTCAGCAAGATACTGAATGACAAAATGTAAAAAAAAAAAAACTACAAGATATTACCGAAGGTCCAAAGATGTCCTTACTTATGTAATTGAAACAAACTCACTGAAACTGAAACTCATGTTTCTGTAGCTTTACTGATTTGCATTATCTTTTGCCAAATTGGCAACAAGGGATGCAAAATAGTAGCCTAGGTACCCGTCTGTTTCTGCTTAGCTAACTTAATTGGCAGCATAGCACAGTTCAGTAGGCCTACCTCCACCAGCAATATGTAACCACATAACCACGTTTAATTACACAGTAGCTTTTTGTAGTTGTGTGTAGAAAGAAACCACTTCAAAGTGTTGTATATGCATGATTCTGGCTAAGAAAAAACCCAATGAAATTGATTGACATCATTTACTGAGAATATAAAAAAGGCATCTCCAAGGCTATCCTCCTACAGAAAAAAAGGAATTGAGTGTCACACAAATCTGTAAGAAGCAAAAAAAAAAAAAAAAAAATTCAAAAGTAGAGAAGTTTTCCCAATCCATCCTTTGTGGCCATGAGTCATACATTCATTGCTATATCAGTGTGTACCTATCTCTGACTAACCATACATTGATACTTTACTCGTTTTACTCTTTTGAAACGCACATTGTTATAAAACTAGCTTTATCATAGTCCTCACTGTTCACACCATCTCATGGAGAAGAACAATGTGATGCAAGCAAATAGAACTGCAAATCAGACTGCTTGACTATGGTGGTGGGAGACCCTCACAATAACTCTCCCACATACAACAATGTAATCTGTCACTCTAATACACATCTACCTGTTCCAGGTCACATAATGCTGAACGTGCATAGATAAGCCTTCGCCCTCTGGCATATTGTGGTTTTGGCCTGAATGCTGTTCACTAGAAAAAAATATCATAAAGGTACTTAATATGAAAATGAACCAAAGCAGTGGTTTCATCTGCAATGACAGTCCCTGCAAACTATGTTGCTATTTCACATGTTTTTGGCTCGCATACAACATCTCCTGTCATGGGTAAAGAGACTGTAATCTGAAATGTAAAGGGAAGTCTTTCAGCATCTTGAAGTTTTTGTTTTGTATGTACCAAAAGTGGAAAACACAGGCTAGTTCCAACAAGTCTTTCAGGAGACCATATATCTACTCTTGTAAGGTAATAGTGCTAGAAATAAATATATGATGACGGTCTAGACTAAAAGTTGATTTTAGAACTGCTAAAAATAAGCAGGGATGTTATGGAGAAGCTTCTGCCAGTAAAAGCACAATGACCCTAGGTGACCTAAGAGTTGACATTACCGCGACATGGTGAATCACATGTACACAGGTTCAATCTTTAAAGTCTCCAAGGACTGGCTAACAAAACAACAGTAAAAACATTTAACAATTTAACAATTACAAACAATAGTGACATTCAAATATCTGTCAGAAGTATAATTCATGCCGTCATAAGCCATGCTGAACATTTTTGCTTGTATTAGGATACAAAAACCTATAGTATTTGTTAAATGGCATTTAGGACAGTCTGGATGGATATTTGGCATATACTGTTACACACAGTGGTTCCAGTTCACAGTTCAGTTCACTCCGACCTCATAGCATCTTACATGTTGGATTATTTAATTATTGCCTGCTTAAACATAAATTGAATAGCACCTATTTCAAGTCCTCTCAATGAAGCCTGAAATGTCAAGACTGTATTTAGCCAAAGGTTGAGGGTATAATATTACAAGAATGACACCAAAGTAAATGGATAGTTTGTCACTTAAGACTACAAGACTGAGAATAGTAATTAAGCTTCAAGCACTCAAAAATACATGTCTAATCACCTACTTCCATGTCAAGAAGTGTGTCCCAGTATGTCTGAGCGGCTTGTATGAGTGGAGGCTTGGAGATGCTAAACGTGTTTATGTTAATTAACGGTCAATTACCGTGAGACCAGCAGGCTTTTGCATGACAATAACCGGCTGACAAAATGTCATGACCGCCACAGTCCTAGTCCCAGATCTCACCCTATTCCCTATATAGTGCACTACTTTTGACCACTACATAGGGAATATTGATTGATAAAATGTGTTAGACCATTTTTTTTTAAATATATACATAAGGGCGCTGCAGCCGGTGACGCCTCCACATACAATTTAAGAAAATCATCCAGGATAACACAATAAAGCTTAAAAGCTTATTTTCATTGTGGTCCTTTTGAGAGTGCCATTTGGGAAGCAGACAAGGTGAACACAACAGGGGAAATATGACATCCAACTTCCTCAGAAAACTCTTCAGGTGAAGAATCTCATGTGCAGCTTCTTTTGGTTTCAGAGTGGCGAGAACCTTAACAGAACAACCACTGATTGAACAATTACACACTATTGTTAAATGCATTGACACAGTAATAACAAAAACATCAGCAAAACAAAATTAGAAAAAAATCATTAACATACGTAAGTATACAAGGCATTTTCACGTCACAATATACATCTTCCCTTCTTAGTGTGTTGACTCATAAATAAGACATGAAAGCATTCAAATATCAGCCTTTAAAAATGTCAGCCAATGACTATTCTGTTAATAGTTGAGACTGTTATGTCATGCTGAATAAATTTTTGGGTTATATGTCTCTCATGATACATAATTTATCTACTTTCCAGAGGAGGCTGGTGGGAGGAACTATAGGAGGACAGGCTCAATGTAATGGCTGGAATGGCATAAATGGAACGGTAAACACATCAAAGACATGTTTGACTCCATTCCATTAATTCCATTCCAGCCATTACAATGAACCCATCCTCCTATAGCTCTTCCCACTAGCTTCTCTGCTACATTCCTGGTTTATTGCAAAGGCACATGTTTGAGCATGCAGGAAAGGTTTCTCCTTGATCATTCTTCAATAATAGTGATTCTAAATTTACAAGAACACAAATATGGTGTGACGCCTGACTTCAGAAAAAATACTATAAACAAATTCACGCAGCCCCTAACCTGTCCAGCCTTCTTCACTAAACCCAGACAAAATAAGCAATTTCATCAAGATCTACTGGGTAGTCTGTAAGGTGCAGAGGCTCCTTAATATCAAACCGTTCTCCCTTGTAGCTCCGCCAGTGTCCAGCCGGGAGATAGATGTCCCTCTCCTGCTTTCCAGGCTCCAGTACTGGCGCCACCATGAGGTCATCCCCTATCAGGAACTGGGAGTCAATCTTATAAGCGGTCTCGTCGCCAGTGGCGATCCACCACAGAGGCCGTATGATGGGGTCTCCCGTGTCCAGCACCTCCCCAGCCAGTTCCAGAACCCGTGGGGCCACTATGCTCTCATGGATAGCAGTGTACTTCCGGGCGATCTCCACCACCTCGTTATCGTACTCCCAGGGGGGGATGGAGAACTGCATGGAGGGCATAAAAGCAGACAGCTCCAGCCAGCGGATGTAGAGCTCACGGTCTGGTAAAGTGCGCTCGCCATCAGTGCGGTTCAGATATGCGTTGCCACCGATCATGTCCGGTAGGATGAACTGGTAGCCGAGAATGCTGATGGTAAGCACGGTGGGAATAAGGGACTTGAGGCCTAGCTCGTAGCCCCAAACAGAGTCCCGGTCAATGGGCCTGAAGAAGCAGGAGATGTTCTGGGACTGGTAGCCTGAACGCAGCTCGGCCCGCTCATTGTAAGGAATAGCCATCTCGGTGTAGCGACGGGTAAACGTGCTAGGGTCGCGAAGGGGTGTCTTTGTGCTGAATTGCCAGGGCAGGTAGTTTGTCTCGCCTGCGTCCAGCTTGAAGGAGGACACCCCGTACTTGGATCGTAAGGACCGCAGGTGTGAGGCGAACCAATCACGGGCCTCTGGGTTGGTAAAGTCTAGAATGCCCCCGATGCCGTTCCACCAGCTTACCAATGCCGGAAGACGACCTGTAGGTTCTCGGACAAAAAGCCCTCTTTCCACACAGGTGTGAAAATTCTCAGAGTCATAGTTGACAAAAGGGTGTGTCCAGAGAGAGACCAGAAAACCGTCTGCTTTGAGCTTCTGGAACATGGCCGTAGCGTTGGGAAACTTGGCCAAGTCGAAATCAAATTCCCCATAGCGGTTTGTGTAGCGATCGTCCAGCTCCAGGTGGCTACAGTTGAAGCCATGCTTGCGGATGTTGGCTGCAAACTTCAAAAGTTTATCTTGGTCTATGTCAGTCTTGTGTAGTGCCCACGTGGACCAGATCGGATGGCGGAACATGGCTTTGGAAGGCACCTTGTTGGGCTTGTTGAAGTATCTGCGCACCATGTACTTATGAATGGATGTGACGTCCAAGCCCACACAGACTCTGTAGCTGAGTTCAGCACAAGGTGCCTCACCAGGATTTGGCTTGTAGGGGGTGTCATGGTACCTTGCCTGGAAGTACATGGTCTTCTCTGTGTCGTTCCAGCCCAGATGAAAGGGCACAGAGTCGTTGATCTTAATGGCCGTGGCATTGGATGAGAGCCAGTAACGTTCCAAGATGCCCCCAAAGCCGTTTCGATTGGAGTAGATATCACTGGTGACAAAGGGTTTGGGTGCCTGCTGCCCGGAGATGGCGATAGGCCAATGCTGTATGGCAGTCTCGGCTCCACCATACCAGTGCGAGACGTTGTAGGTCATGGCGTGCTCCACGGGCAGGCTGGGAACCAATTCTTCCCAACGCACACGGTAGCATTGGACTGTATTGTCGAATACTGTCTGGATGAAAAACTTGAGTTTCCGATCACTGGTGCGCCCACAGCTCAGTATCTCCCCCTCCTTAGAACATGAGTCTAAGTCCAGGGTGCCAGACCTGTCATTCAACATTTAGAGAAGAATGATCAGTTACATCACATTTCTTTGCATTCAAGTCTCAGGCTATATTCATGTTAGAGCAGTTGATTTATGATTACATTTGGCACTTTAAAATGTAATTACTTGATTAAGCTTATAATTGTTTTTCAGATCAAATCATGACTAGTTTGATTCTTTTTAAAGGGGTACTGTACCAGATTAGGGGGCAAGCCTGCTTTCTATTCCCCAGTAGATGAATGTTTCTGAATTGGATACGGGTATATACTAGAATAAATTCTCAATCACAGCTAACACACTTTCCACAATGAGTAATAGTAACTGTTGGTTAATGAATACTGATTTATGCTGTCCTATTCTGAAGCAAATTACAAACCTGAAAGACATCCTGAAGACAATAGCCCCTGCCTGGTTGCGAATGATGTAGCCATCCTTGTTGAGGTCCAGAAGTTCTGTCTTGAGCAGTTCAGCCTTGCGCAGAGAACCAATGTAATAGCACCATGCGGTTACCGCAGCAATCACCAGCACCAAGCCTAAGACACTTGCTACAACTAAGGGCCGAGCGTCCCTTTTCAGTTTCTGTTTGATGGGTGTAGCGTTGGTAACTGTGCCCCCTGCACCTCCTGGTACCACTTGGTACATTGTGGTTATTGTTCAACAGTCCCCCAGTGAAATGGGTTGTAAGGAATCCCTTAAATTGGTGAAAGTGTCTTTAAAGTAAAGCAGGAGTCCCCTGATTGATACACCACAGTCACAACACACAGTTCTTCCTTCTATATGCAGAGACTTGTATGAGGCATGGCCTTGCAGACTGCTGAGGAAATTTGTCTTGGTTATTTCTTCAGTAGACGTTGCTCTCTTCCCCCACTCTTTTCATCTGTTTACCTGCCTGAATGAAAAGAAAGATAACCGGCTTTTAGATCAAACGTCTCAAGTCAAAGTTCACCCTAGCAGTTCTTCAGATCTAAAATCACAGAGGGGGAGGGAGGGAGAGAGTTTACTTGCTGCTGACCCCCTCTATAAATAAACCACTCACCCATTGTTTGAAATAAAAAAGAAAACGTAAAGAAGAGAATATATTCACTATCTCTACAATCACTATAGGAGTTTGCCCTGCAGCAATACCAAAATGTTTGTTTGGTTCAAACACAGACCTAATATGTATGTAAGCAGGTAGATTTTGGAGTCGATGCAGGGCGAATTCAGGCCTACTCTGGGTCTTTTGTTCTAAAACCCCACCAAAGCCAATGAGAGGCACACATACAAAACATCCTGTCCCACTAAGTCAATATAATGGTAATCATGGAACCTTTGCCCACATTAGTGCAACTTAAGGGAAATGTGTAACCAAAGCAACAACTCCACTCAGCCATGGGGTAGGTGGGAATCATTATCAAACCAGGGGCTAAGAGCTTGGCAATGTGCCGACTCATATGTAAACACACAGAAGCTTCAAACAGACAAAACCTCAAGGGTCTTCCCAGGTAGGCCAAAACTAAGCAGACAGGGTGTTTCTGGGTAATTACATGGCTGATGTTAGAGAGGGAATGGTGGAGGGAGGGGGGAGGGAGGGGGGAGGGAGGGAGGGAGGGAGGGAGGGGGGGAGGGGGGGAGGGGGTTGTGGGGGGAGGGGGGGGAGGGGGTTGTGGGGGGGGGGGGGGGTCGATAATTGTAGTTAATTAGCAATCGAATGGTCTAATTCTGTGTTCAACCAGCCTTGCTATAGATTTTAACCTCAACGGGAACACCAACCAATCTTGAAGGGTAAGCAATGGATTTAACATTAACAGGATGTGGCTGCCAGTCACAACATAGCATACAATTACATGTGCTAGCCAAGGTGATAACAAAAAAATGCATGAAGTAATGTTTTTTGGTCAATGGTCTGTGAAGGTTAGGCCTACTAGTTGTCATTTCAGCTGATTTGCTATCAGCTAGGCTTGTGCAAATGTCTGTGTGAAATAAACAAAGTGCTGACACGAAGCGCGAATGTTTCACAAGATATAACAGCAAGGAATTGTGTGTGTTTATTTTAGTAACCCAACACTAAATATAAAATGTCCATTTATTAATTGAGTGAAGAAAAGGTATCTTACCATACAAACCTCAACCCAACTAGTCAACTTTGTAGTACCCATGATATATTTCTTTATCGCTCCAGCCAGGCATAAACCGTTACGCAACTTGAAGAGTTTGACACAGTACGCAGGGCAGTCATCGACAGTGCTAAGTAGCTATCTTACAACTAAAACAAACAAAAAATATCTGTATAATATCATTAATATAATGGGTGTTTGATAGGAAAATGCACTGCAATAATACTCACCGTTCTGGGTAGCGAAATATCCTCTTCCCAGCACACACAACTTGGCTGGCATAGTTCCCCATGCTCCGGAGGGGTATGGTTGTATCGCGTCTCTGGTCGAATTGCGTGCGCTCACAAAAACAAGGCTCCTCCCGAGCATGGGAAATGTAGTTTCAGTGGTGACATTTATGAACGACGTCTAAACGTGTACTAAACTGATTTAACCATTCATTCAAACGTCGGGTAATGGGCGAATTGTAACAGCGTTTGTGAAACACTGACATCAAAATGCTATCGAAGATATTGAATTCGCAGTGACTTGTATTCATGAATGCCAAGGGAAGCCAGGATCCCCTCCCCCCACATTAAAAAAAAAATCATTTAGGTTTTCGTCTCTCAATAGCTAAATTTCCATCCAATTGGCAACAGATTTTCATGCAAATATTCTAAAATCGGCATAAAAACAATATGGGCAAAAAACAAACCAAAATTCATTTGACTTCTTCTGTTAAAATCACAAAGTCCAATCAGATCCCTACACAAGCTCAGGAGCCTGGGAGGGTGGTACTTCTTCTGTCGCCAGTACCCCTTGCAGGTCTTCCACTGAGAATTATTTCAGGCGCAATAACTTTTCTGCCGGTTCAATAGTTTGACAAACATTCACTAATATTTGGGCGTATCCACTACCATATCATCAACACTAGCGCCACAATTCTTTCGATTGCCCATAGGAGATTCTATAACCTGCCCTTACTTTTGCCACCTTGACCTCATTCACCCTTACAGGGCACTCCAAGAACTCTGGATCATGATCCTCACCACAGTTGCAACACTGACCTTCTTCACTCTGAGCTTCAATATACTCCTTCTTGTCTGCAAACATTTGCAACATGGCCAAATCCTTTACAGTTATTGCGTTGTAGTGGCTTGTGGACAAATGCTCTTACTGCATACTTTACATAACCTAACTTCACATGAGTGGGGGTGTGCTCTTTATCAAAAAAACAAAAGAACCAATAGACTTGCTTCCTTTTCACCATGCGGTTCAGATGACGGGCACCAACCACATCTTGGATTCTCTTGAAGAATTCAATATCTACTTCCATTGACAACCGGCTATGACTCTTTTAACAGGTGCTCTACTCCGCAGTTCAAAGTATAATACTTCGGAATTTGACATTCTTGTGATTCCCAATGCCTTCTTCTTCTGCTCTTCAGTGACACAATTAACCAGCAGAAGCCCACTCCTGGTCACTCTGATTGATTCCACTTTTCCCAACACATGCTTCACCTTCTTCGATACCTCAAACGGGTTTCCCAGATATACATCCTTATTCAAAAAACGCAGCCCAACAAGAAACACATCCTTATCCAACCTACACTCATCATCCATTCCAATGTTTGACATGTGTTTCCATCAAATTGACTTGTTGGGGATAAAAGGCTATGCGTGATGACGTAAGACACATAAAAATATATTTTGCGGTTAAATTCCCATGTACCGAATAAAACATTCTAGTTAAATGGGTTTCCATCACATTAAACTCTACTGATGGTTTTCTCACAAAATGTGTTGTTGCGTTATATAGCGAGTGTGCCTACTCTGGTATTGGCACATGGTTCTAGCCAACAGCTCGCAGATACAGTGCGGGTATAGCCTATGTGATGAGATTATTATGGACAAAAGAGCGAGATTATTTCTGTCAAACGGCAGCCAAGAATCGGTGATCACGTCACCAGAATAAGACCCTCAATATTTATTGGAAAGGAGCATCAAGCTCCTCACGTTGCACTTTCACCACCCTGTGAAGTTCATCATAACTTTCATCTGAAGCCTAATAAAATGTATGCTTTCCCGATGAGTCATAGTGGGAGGACCACACAACATGTCATCGTGTGACTCCCAAATTTACTTCAATGTGATGGTTATTATATAAATATTTACCCATAAAAGTGTTTCCACTGATATTTCTTGCATAATAAATTGTACTGACACGAAAAGATCCCACCTTGTCTTGCGTATTTAGTTTTGTCAACATTTGGAAAGTTTCCCGACAAATGTTTTGTTTCCATCAGACCTGTCATTACATTTTTTTACTCTCATAAAAAGTTTGGATGGAAACCTGATTTGTGTTTAATAATTTTCCTTCAATTTGGTAAGAGGAGAAAGCATCCGAGCGAAACAGCGCCCCTCTGTCTCTGTATGTGTAGCCCATCTATCTAATGCTGTCTGGTCAAAAAGAGAATGATATTATTTCCGGTGGTAGCATTGAATGCAAGGGAAGCCAGTGAGCATTTGGCGTCCCTTGATAAAAAATAATAAAATAATAAGCAATCAGTTTGAGCTAAACTGAGTGAGCTCAACTGGCACACCCCAAAAAAGTGTAAAGGGAAGCCAGTTTGGATTTGTCTTCACACCAATCACATCACATCAAAGCCAAACATCAGTAACCAGGTTCCCATCCAACCTTTTTATGCAAGTGTCATGACAGGCCTGATGGAAATATACAATACCAGTCAAAAGTTTGGACACACCTACTCATTCAAGGGTTTTCCTTATTTTTACTATTTTCTACATGGTATACAGAAGATAGCCCTATTTGGTAAAAGACCAAATCATTATTATGACGAACAGCTCAAATAAGCAAACAGAAACGACAGTCCATCATTACTGTAAGACATGAAGGTTAGTCAATTCGGAACATTTCAAGAACATTGAACGTTTCTTCAAGTGCAGTCGCAAAAACCATCAAGCGCTATGATGAAACTGGCTCTCATGAGAACCGCCACAGGAATGGAAGACCCAGAGTAACCTTTGCTGCAGAGGATAAGTTCATTAGAGTTACCAGCCTCAAAAATTGCAGCCCAAATAAATGCTTTACGGAGTTCAAGTAACAGACACATCTCAACATCAACTGTTCAGAGGAGACTGTGTGAATCAGGCCTTCATGGTCGAATTAATGCAAAGAAACCACTACTAAAGGACACCAATAAGAAGAAGAGACCTGCTTGGGCCAAGAAACACGAGCAATAGCCATTAGACCGGTGGAAATTTGTCCTATGGTGTGGAGTCCAAATTTGAGAGTTTTGGTTCCAACCGCCGTTTCTTTGTGAGACGTGGTGTGGGTGAACGGATGATCTCCGCATGTGTAGTTCCAACCGTAAAGCATGGAGGAGGAGGTGTTATGGTGTGGGGGTGCTTTGCTGGTGACACTGTCTGTGATTTATTTAGAATTCAAGGCACACTTAACCAGCATGGCTACCACAGCATTCTGCAGCGATACGCCATCCCATCTGGTTTAGGCGTGTGGGACTATCATTTGTTTTTCAACAGGACAATGACCCAACACACCTCCAGGCTGTGTAAGGGCTATTTTACCAAGAAGGAGAGTGATGGAGTGCTGCATCAGATGACCTGGCCTCCACAATCCCCCGACCTCAACCCAATTGAGATGGTTTGGGATGAGTCGGATGGCAGAGTGAAGGAAAAGCAGCCAACATGTGCTCAGCATATGTGGGAACTCCTTCAAGACTGTTGGAAAAGCATTCAAGGTGAAGCTGGTTGAGAGAATGCCAAGAGTGTGCAAAGCTGTCATCAAGGCAAAAGGTGGCTATTTGAAGAATCTCAAATATAAAATATATTTTGATTTGTTTAACACTTATTTGGTTACTACATGATTCCATATGTGTTATTTCATAGTTTTAATGTCTTCACTATTATTCTACAATGTAGAAAATAGTAAAAATAAAGAAAACCCTTGAATGAGTAGGTGTGTCCAAACTTTTGACTGGTACTCTATATACAGTGGGGAAAAAAAGTATTTAGTCAGCCACCAATTGTGCAAGTTCTCCCACTTAAAAAGATGAGAGAGGCCTGTAATTTTCATCATAGGTACACGTCAACTATGACAGACAAATTGAGAGAAAAAAAATCCAGAAAATCACATTGTAGGATTTTTTATGAATTTATTTGCTAATTATGGTGGAAAATAAGTATTTGGTCACCTACAAACAAGCAAGATTTCTGGCTCTCACAGACCTGTAACTTCTTCTTTAAGAGGCTCCTCTGTCCTCCACTCGTTACCTGTATTAATGGCACCTGTTTGAACTTGTTATCAGTATAAAAGACACCTGTCCACAACCTCAAACAGTCACACTCCAAACTCCACTATGGCCAAGACCAAAGAGCTGTCAAAGGACACCAGAAACAACATTGTAGACCTGCACCAGGCTGGGAAGACTGAATCTGCAATAGGTAAGCAGCTTGGTTTGAAGAAATCAACTGTGGGAGCAATTATTAGGAAATGGAAGACATACAAGACCACTGATAATCTCCCTCGATCTGGGGCGCCACGCAAGATCTCACCCCGTGGGGTCAAAATGATCACAAGAACGGTGAGCAAAAATCCCAGAACCACACGGGGGGACCTAGTGAATGACCTGCAGAGAGCTGGGACCAAAGTAAGTGTTGTCCGCGTTCATCACCCATACTACCGGCACCACAATGCAGGAGGCCGGCAGTATGGGAGTGTTGTCGCTGGGCCTCTCCTCTGTGTCATACAGCCGGGACAGCGCGTCTGCCTTCACATTCTTCGTACCCAGGATGAATAATAGAGTGAAATCAAACCGGGTGAAGAATAGGGCCCACCTGGCCTGGCGAGGATTCAGCCTCCTCGCTGCCCGGATGTACTCCAGGTTACGATGGTCTGTCCAGACGAGGAAAGTGTGTTTTGCCCCCTCGAGCCAATGCCTCCACACGGTCAAAGCTCAGACAACAGCCAATAGCTCCCGATCACCAACTGAGTTTCTTCGAGAAGAACGCACAGGGGCGGAGCTTGGGTGGCGTACCCGAGCGTTGAGACAGGACAGCTCCTATCCCAACCTCGGACGTATCCACCTCCACTACGAACGGTAGTGATGAATCAGGATGGGCCAGTACTGGGGCTGAGGTGAACAGACCCGGATAAACCTCCGATAGTAGTTGGTAAAGCCAAGGAAGCGCTGCACCTCCTTAACCGTGGTTGGAGTCAGCCAATTACACACGGTTGAAATGCGATCTCCCTCCATCTCCACACCTGAGGTGGAAATGCGGTATTCAAGGAAGGAG